GTTACAAAATCTGTCAAGGAAACGTCAGAAATACTTCGCTGGGAAGTGTTACTCCATGCGGCTTATTCACCAGACTGTGCCCCTTCCGACTACCACTTGTTTCGGTCGATGGCACACGCACTTGCTGACGAATGCTTCAATTCTTATGAAGATGTCGAAAAATGGTTCTCTGACTGGATAGCCTCCAAAGATAAGTCATTCTTTCGCCGCGGAATTCGCTTGCTGACCGAAAGATGGAAAAAAGTCACCGCTAACGGTGGACAATATTTTGATTGATGTACTTTTTCATTTTGTTTCTTAAATAAAGTCATACGTTTTGTAAAAAACGGACGGAACTTTCCGATTGACCTAATATAATATTGTTATATCCGAGCCACTATATGAACGGCGGCGTCAGCTGTTCACGGTCTTTGTCCTTGGCGGTATCGATTGAAGAACTGATAAGCGATCAGCTAAGCGACGAACTGACAGGCGGTCAGCGGGGCAACGAAGATAAACGAGAAAAGGAGAGTTTGGTTTCTGTGACAAACCGCCGACGCGGGCTGTAGAGCAATTTTCGGTTGCGGCTTTTAATCGGAATTTACGCAAAAGATCGAGAATGTATTTCTGTGTAATTCGCTGTACATAAAGGCTTTGCTTCTCCTTTTAACGAACGTGTAATTATTTTCCCTGAACGTCGGGAGATTTGTGTGTGTGTGACATTTTTGGGGGCTCGTCCAGGATAAAACGTGTTTTCCCGAGCCTTACGAGTGAGAGGAAGGAAATTTATGAATGGCTCAGCGAGTTACGAAGAAGCGGTAACATCTCGACGAAACAATGGAGATGGAAGCTGGCGCGGCAAGCTTTCAAAGTATAGAAACAGCCTCGATTCGGTAAATGATGGAGGAGCTACGGCAACTTTGAACGGAGAGAGGGAGCAGGAGCGGCGAGAGCTTCGGGAGCTTCGGAACTGGATGGTCGCGGCTGGGAATCAGTGCAGCTAAGTCGCTTCCAAAATAGTATTGCTAATGAAGTAAAATTAGTGAAGTAAAATTCTTTTATCAAGAAAAGTTAAACGAAAAAGACGTCGTAAAGAGGGATTTCGGAATGGACAATGTTAGAAAAGGAAGAAGTTCGGAAAGTTATAAAAATTCATTTCTGGGAAAAAAGTCAAATGTCGTTTCTGAGAAACAAGAATGTTGAAATTGTGGGAAAAAGGGGCATTTTAGGAGGGAATGTCCGTTCTTGAAATTTAATAAACAGTCAAACTAGGTTTTGCTGAATTAGCCGGGATCGATTCGGCAGATCCCGGCTAATTCAGCGAGATCCCGGAAATTAATAATAAGTTTAGCATTAGACGCATTAGTTAACCTTTATTTTCATATTCTGGGAAAATAAATGGACAGAGTTGTAGGATTAAGATAGACACGGGCTCAGATGTTTCAATCATTAGTAGAAGGTTAATCGAAGGATGTAAAGTTAATGCGGTAGGAAGTTAATTTAATTTAATTTATCCGACGGGAGAAAAGGTTTCAGTTTGTGCGCAAGTGCAACTGAAAGTTGAATTAAGACGATTTTTTTTAGAAATGTCAATGTATGTTGTAGAAATGGCAGACGACTGTCTTTTAGGGACTGATTTCTTGTCAGAAACGGATGTGGAATCTAGTATACGGATGGTTTCACAACCGGGTAAGGAGGCAGTTTTGTTTGCACGAATCAAAGAAGACGTGGAAGAAGAATTAGAAGAGTTGCCAATTTCCTTTTCGCGTCATGTTGAAGGATTAGAAGATTCTCAGAAACAAGTTTTAGCTAAATTTATTGCGGAGTACAAAGACGTTTTCTTGGAAGCGGTCGCGGCCGGAAATTGTGAAGTGGTCGAATATGCAATTGATTTGTTGAAAAAACGGCCAATTAAGCAGAATCCTCGACGGGTTCCACTGAAGTTGCGATCAGAAGCTGAAAGGCTTGTTGAGGAAATGCGGAGAAAAGGAGTGATAGAGGAATCACATAGTCCATGGTTATCTCCGGTGGTTTTGACTAATAAGAAGGATGGATCTTGCAGGTTTTGTGTGGATTTCCGATGTCTCAATGCAAAGACTTAAGGATTTTTATCCATTACCGAGAATGGATAATTTGCTTGACCGTTTGTCGGGAAATGCTTGGTTTTCGACAATAGATTTGAAAAATGGTTATTAGCAAGTAAAACTCCGGGAAGAGGATAAAGAAAAGACGGCTTTCTCTTTGGGAAAAGGATTGTGGCAGTTCACTGTCATGTCGCTTGGGCTGTGTAATGCTCCAGCAACTTTTGAGCGTATGATGGAGAAAATTTTGCATGGATTTTTATTTAAGATTTGTCTAGTTTATTTGGACGACGTAATTATTTTCAGACCAACGTTTCAGAGAATATTGGGAAATTTACGTGAAGTATTTTCAAGATTGCGGGAAATAAATTTGAAAATTAATCCAGGAAAATGTGTTTTATTTAGTAAAAGTGTAACCTTTCTTGGTCACATAATTTCTGAAAAAGGAGTAATGACGGATCCATAAAAGATTTCTGCGGTGGCCTGTTCCCACAATTAAAAGGCAGATTCGAAGTTTTCTTGGTTTTTGTTCTTATTATGGAAGATTTATAAAAGGATTTTCATTAATCGCAAAACCTTTGTATATTTTAACGAAGAATTTATCTAAATTTCTTTGGGCTGAGCGGTGTCAACAAGCTTTCATAAATCCTAATCAAGCGTTGACACTCCTCTTGTTCTTTCTTTTCCTTTAGAAAATATGAAATTTGTTCTTGATACTGACGCTTCAGGCCACGAAATCGGTGCTGTTTTGTCGCAGATTCAGTATGGAACTGAGAAAGTTATAGCTTATTATAGTCGAGTTTTAAATAAAGCAGAGCGGAATTATTGTGTTACAAGGCGAGAACTGTTGGCAGTTGTGGATTCTTTAAAATCTTTTATCATTATCTTTATGGATAAGAGTTTGAACTTCGTACAGATCATCAGTCTTTAAAATGGTTGTTATCATTCAAGAATTTGGAAGGGTAGCTGGCCCTTTGGATTGAAAAGATAACAACAATATAATTTCGAAATTGTTTATAGGAAAGGTAGCGTAAACGAAAATGCTAGTGGACTTTCTCGTCGACCCTGTGAGGAAGATTCTTGTGGTTATTGTTCAAGGATGGAATTAAGAGATTATAAACGACAAGGAAGTGTTGGGACGAATAACCTTCGGAGAAGAAAGTTCTGTCAACTGGAGAAAAGAGCAACTAGAGGATCCTTCTATTTCTTTTATTTTGCTCGGAAAAGAGCAGTGACAAAGACCTCTGGCACACCATTTCTTCAAGTGATATTTCGGCAAAAATTTATTGGTCCTACTGGGATTTATTGATCCTAAAGGATGGGATTCTTTATAAAAAGTAGGAGAGTCCGAATTTAAAAATGCATGTTCTTCAAGTTGTTGTTCCTCGGAGTAGGATTAAAGAGATTCTTGAAGAAGCTCATGATTCTCCATCCGGCGGACATTTTGGAGTAAATAAAACTCTAGATAAGATCCAAAAGAAATTTTATTGGGCGACTTGTAAAAAGGATGTCGAGAATTGGTGTAAATCTTGCAAAATTTGTGTCGCAAAGAAGGGTCCTGCTGATAAGGGGAAGTCACCTTTGCAGACTTATACGAGGGCGGTCCGATAAGTACTTAGCCTCACCGCCCGATGGCGCCACTATCGCAAGAGAAATTTACTATCGTGTAGTACATTCTCGTAGACGGCTACTGTCGAAATTTCAGCCGAATCGGACTCGTAGTTTTGTTTTGACCGTGTGTGGAAGCGGGCGTGTCCGCGGATTTTAGAAAAATGGAAAAAGAGCAATATCGGTTGGTGATTCTTGTTTTTGGAAGGGAAATCGCGCAGCGAAATCAAAGAGCGCTTGGATGCTGTGTACGGTGACTCTTCTCCTTCGATGGCGACCGTCAAAAATTGGTTTAATGAGTTTCAACGTGGTCGCACGTCGGTTTTTGATGAGCCACGCCCAGGTGCCCCGAAAACGGCTACCACGGAGGATAACACAAAAATCCACGATCTCGTATTGGCAGACCGCCGATTGAAGGTGCGCGAGATAGCTGAGACAGTAGGCATCTCAAAAGACCGCGTGGGTCATATCCTGCATGAAATTTTGGGCATGAGAAAGCTGTCGGCGCGATGGGTGCCGCGTTTGCTCACTCCGGACAACAAGCGCAACCGTGAGACCACTTCAGAGCAGTGTTTGACGCTGTTTAAGCGCAATCCGAAGGAGTTTCTGCGTCGTTTCATGACCGTCGACGAAACATGGATCCACTGGTACACACCAGAGACCAAGGAACAGTCGAAACAGTGGACTTCACCCGGCGAACGTGCTCCGAAGAAGGCGAAGACTGTCTTATCGGCCGGAAAGGTGATGGCCACCGTTTTCTGGGATTCACAAGGTGTGATCTACATCGACTACCTGGAGAAGGGCAAAACGGTCACAGGGCTGTACTATGCCGAATTATTGGGCCGATTCGACGCCGAATTGCAGAAAAAACGGCCCCATTTGGCGAAGAAAAAAGTGCTCTTCCACCATGACAACGCACCGGCTCACACCTCCGCCCTCGCCACAGTCAAATTGGTCGAATTGGGCTACGAACTGCTGCTCCATTCACCGTATTCTCCAGATTTGGCCCCGTGCGACTTCTTTTTGTTTCCAAACTTGAAAAAGTCACTCGCCGGGCAGAAATTTGAGTCGAATGAGGAGGTCATCGCCGCCACGGAGGCCTACTTTGCACACCTCGAGAAAACGTATTTTTCAGACGGGTTAAAGAAGTTGGAACATCGCTGGGTCAAGTGTATCGAGCTAAAAGGAGACTATGTTGAGAAATAAATCGCCACTTTTCCAAAATTTTCGTTTTTCTTTTGTAGGCTAAGTACTTATCGGACCACCCTCGTAATGTTGGATTACCGTTAGATAGACTCTAAATGGATATTCTTGGGTGTCTTACTTTTTCAGGAAATAGGTATCTGTTACTGATTGTTGATTGTTTCACTAAATGGGTTGAAGCTTTTCCTGTGAAAAACATAAGGGCCATTACTGTAGCAGATGTATTTGTGAAACAATTTATTTCTAGGCATGGAGTACCTCTGGAGCTTCATACTGATCAGGTTAGGAGTTTTGAGTCTTGTTTTTTCCAAGAAGTGTCAAGGTTGTTGGGAATTAAAAAGACACACACTTCCGCGTTATATCCTCAGTCTGACGGCTAAGTGGAATGGCAGCATTTCACTATTATAAATTATTTATCAAAATTTATTTCCATAAATCAAAAAGATTTGGATCGTTGGGTACCGATGTTTCTCCTCGCGTATCTTCGAAGCATGAATCCACTGGAATTTCACCGGCTGAGTTGCATTTTAGTCGAAAACTTAGGTTACCCTTGGATTTGTTACGTGGGACTCCTTCCAAAACAAAGATGACAAGCGTTTATTGCAATCAACTTCAAGAAAAATTAGATTTCATTCATGAGATTGCCAGGCGGAATTTATGCCAGAAATCTTTATCTGCCAAATTTCATTATGATCGGGATGCAAAAAGGTGTCATTTTGCTGAGAGAAGTAAAGTCTGGTTTTTCAATCCTCATCGAAAAGTGAGAAAGGCGCCGAAGTTACAGTCGCACTGGGAGGGACCTTTTGAAATTGTTAAGAGATTGAGCAATGTAGTCTATTGTATTCAAAAGTCGAAAAGGCATAGGAAGAAAATAGTTCATTCTGATAGGCTGGCTTCTTTCTGTGAATGAACGGTTTGATGTCGGTTAAAAAGTCTGAGCCCGTTAATAAATGTAGGATATTTGTTTTAAGGATGAAGATTTATTCATTTCCATGTTTTTCAGAAACATCATTTTTCATTGCGTTCCCCAGAATAGTTGTCCTGCTCGTCAGAATTTGTCCGTCAACAACGAATTAAGAAGGCTACCTCCTCCACGTCGACGAAACATTTTTGATCGTGGTTTTTTCGTGGGGCATTGGGCAAATACCGAGGCAGGGACTTGGGGTGTCCTTCAAAAGAACGTTGGGTCTACAGGAGTTCCCCCCCTCCTGTCCAAAGAGGAACCAAGGAAGAAATAGACGAGAAAGCGAAACAAGTGGATCGTTTTAGAAAGGTCCTGGAGACTGATCACCTCTTAGAGGACAGGGATAGAGATGGTGTTCTGAAGGCGAAGAGTCAAGATTCTCGAAACCCTTGATTGAGATCAAGTATTCATGGAGTCCGGTAACCTATAGCAGCAGCTCAAGGTAGGGCAGAAGCCGTGAAGATCTCTGGAGTCAAGGAAGAGGATGACTTTGCCTCAGTGGATTGTCGGGACGACAATTTTAAAGAAAAAGGGGGGTAATGTTATATCCGAGCCGCAGTATGAACTGCGACGTCAGCTGTTCACGGTCCTTATCCTTGGCGGTATCGATTGAAGAACTGACAACCGATCAGCTGAGCGACGAACTGACAGGCGGTCAACGGGGCAACGAAGAAAAATAAGAAAAGGAGGGTTTGGTTTCTATGACAAGTCGCTGACGCAGGCTATCCAGCAATTTTCGGTTGCGGCTCTTAATCGGGATTTACGCAAAAGATCGAGAGTGTATTTCTGTGCAATTCACTGTATATAAAGGCTTTGCTTCTCCTTTTAACGAACGTGTAATTATTTTCCTCGAACCTCGGGAGATCTGTGTGTGCGTGATAATATATACAAAGCCTCCCAGAAAAATTCTTACAGAGCTTGTAGAGACATAGAGCGGATTAAGACAAACATAAAAGTCCCACATTGTTTTGCAATATTCGCAATAATTATCGTGTAATTAATGATAGAAATTTAAGGAGTGTGGGCACGCGCTCATTCATCAGATTTTTGTAATTAATAATTCGATAACTTTGCGAATATCGCAAAAAACAGTATTCATTACGAATTTTTGTTTGTCTCAATCCTATGTCCTCACGAGCTATATAAAAATTGTTCTGGGACACCTTGTATTATAGGTTGTTCCATTTTAATCAACGCATTTGAATTTTTCGTAAACCATGCGAAATATAAAAAAATTTTTTTTGAAGTTGTATGGTATCAAGAGAAACATATTTTTAAAGACAAAAAGAATTTGACTTTGGATATAGCCGTTAAGAACAAAATGAGATCAACTTCATTTTTTTAAGTGACAATATGTATAAGGTGTATAAAAAGTACCAGGACGGCGAAATATCTCGAAAACTAAGCATTTTAGAGAAAAATGTTTCAGACAAAAGTTGTACGGTTTTAAGGAGGATATAAAATGACTATCTCGTTTTGTTCACAGATGGCACCACTTTCGAGATTTTCATTGATTATTACTTTTCTTAAATGGAAATCCCAATTTTTTATTACACCGTCTTTTTCTGCTAATTAATTTAAACAACTTTCGTCTGAAACATTTTTTTATTTGCCTAAATTTTTTGAGATATTTAAGGAAAATTTGATAACTTCTTCAATATTTAACTTACAATATCTCGCTAATTATTTGTCAGAAGAAAAAGTAGTACTAGACTTTTTTGCTCTATTTGATCTCAAGAATATATTGTTACAATAGCGCCCTGACTTTTGTTAATTTGATGATTTTGAAACTTCTAAAAGTTGATACTTATCGACTTACACAATATATAACTATTAACTTACATACAATTTTTGTTTGAAACATTTTTCCTTAAAATATCGCGTTTACAAAAAAATCAGGTGGTAGTCTAGTAATATCTTGTATACAGGGTGTTTGATAGCTGATTATGCAGACGAAAGATGGAGATAGATTGGGTGTAGCCGAGAAGAAAAGTCATGTACCATAATGTCAAATTGGCAATAGTTACCGAGTTATTAATTAAAACATGTGAGCCAACGAGCGCGTAGAGAGCGGAGGGCGGCCGCAGTAAGCACGTAGACATTTGATACAGGCGGAGTCAGCGAGTAACGGTAGGCAAGCGCGCGTGGCGAGGGGCAACGTAAGCGACAAGAGGCGATCGCGCCTCTCGCGAAGCTCGCACTTGATGCTTACAATACCAAACACATTAAAGGTTATGATCGGTGAATATTTGATGCAGTATTGTAAATGAGTACATCGTTGGTCTCTATTTTTTCAGTGGTATTCTCACAGGAGTGGTTTGCAATGTGTTTTTAGAATAAAAATTACTGGATCTTTTAAACAACGTCGATCTTATAATTCGACAAAATTTATATAAAAATTATGTATCAGTAGGATGAGACGCTTGTACATTATAATCGCAAAGTTCAGGATACTTTGAATCTCCCAAATGTTTCCAGAACGCTGAATTAAAAAAAATGATCCTATTACTTATAGCTAACTAGATCTTTAGACCTAAGACAACGCCGTTAGACATTTTATCTGACGCTTAAGGGTCTACAGGAGCCATACTAGAGGCCTCTCGCGGAGATGCCCGAACTAGGCAAAATTATATTGCAAATTATGAATAAAATACGAACAGAATCACCTTATATGTATGATATTTGCAATCCGGAGAATCGTCCGCAGGGTCGTACAGAGCGCGTTTTTGGAAAAAAAGTCGAAATAAAAATCGATTAAATAATTTGCATGAACGTTTATCCCGCGGTGCAGCGCGAGCCTATATTTTCATTTATTACAAATTTTCAACCTAAATGCAAAATCGCGCTCTGTACCGACCTAGATACTAATATAAGGAAGATGCCTATGTAAGTCTAATAAGCAAATATGATGTCTGCGTGACAAAATATGATATGTTTTAGTGCAGGTAACACGGAAAGTGTAACCCAGCTGCACTATGGTGCAGTCTATATGACATAACCTTCCTGCCTTGCGTTCACGCGAGCAATGCATCAGTATTAACGTGATATATGAGCAGTGCATAAGTATTGCCGTGTGTATGTGTACCTTCCAGCTTCCATTTTAAAACATAAGATATTTTGCCACGTTGATGTTATGTATCACCGCAAAGTTGTTATGATATATATCCTTTGCATTATACCCGAGGCTCCTACAAAGGCAGATTATTTAATAAGGCCGTAAATAATTTTTCATAAACAAATAAAATGTCAACAGTACCAAGCCTCGCGGCGAGTCACGAGCGATATAATTTTACTAGAAAAGATATTCTACCTCATTGACGATATATGTAACTACCAAATTGATATGGAATATTCCTTGAACTATTATCGAGGTCCCTACAGAGTCAGATTTTGCAATCCAGCCGTCCAAAATTTATAATATATTAATAAAGCGTGCGTCATACGAAACATCGCAGCGAGTCCCGCGACATACCATGTTACAAGAAAAGATATTTTGCCTCGTTGTTGTCATATATCACCAAATTGTTATAACATATTCCTCCATCTATTCCCGAGGTCTCTACAAAAGATTTCGTAATCAGGCCGTCTAACTTTTATCATAAATAAATAAAGATACACCAAGTGTCAAGGCGGATCACGCAAATACAATTTCACAAAAACAGATATACCGCTTCGTTAACGATATATGTAACCGCCAAATTGATTCGGAATATTCCTTGAACTATCTCCAAGAATCCTACAGTCAGATTTTGAAATCCAGTCGTCAAAAATTTATCATACATTAATAAAGCGTCAGTCGTACCAAGCGTCGCTGCGAGTCACTCGAAATATCATTTTACAAGATGCAATATTTTGTCTCTTTGACGATACGTATTATTACCAAATTGATGTATCTTCTTCGTATTATTCCCGAGATCGCTATAAAGCTGGATTTTGCTATCCGGTCGTCACAAATTTTTAATATATAAATAAAGCGTCCATCGTACCAGGCGTTGGAGCGAATGAGTCGAAAAATCATTGTAGAAGATGCAAAATTTCCCCTTTGTTGACGATATATTTCACCGCCAAATTGTTTTAGCATCTTCTTTGAACTATCCTCGAGAAACCTACAGAGCCAGATTTTGCAGTCAGGCCGTGAAAAATGTATCATAAGTAAATAAAGATGTATGAAGCGTCGGAGCGGATTACGTACAATATCATTTTACAAAATGATATATTATTTCACTGATGTAATACACATATATCATCATCATATTGTTATAGCATATCTCTAAAACTATTCCCAATATCCTCATAAAGCCAGATTTTGCAATCAGGCAGTCTAACTTTTATTATAAATAAATAAAGATGCATCAAGATGCATCAAGGCGGATCACGCGAATACAATTTTACAAGAAGAGATATTCCGCCTCATTGGCGATATATGTAACCGTCAAATTGATATGGAATATTCCTTGAACTATTATCGAGGTCTCTACAGAGCCAGATTTTGCAATCCGGCCGTCAAAAATTTATCATATATTAATAAAGCGTGCGTCGTACGAAATATCATGCTACAGGAAAAGATATTTTGCCTCATTGCAGTCATATATCACCACCAAATTGTTATAACATATTCCTCGATGTATTCCCGAGGTCTCCACAAAACTAGATTTCGCAATCAGGCTGTCTAACATTTATCGTATATAAAAGACTGTACCGGGCATTGCAGCATGTCACGTACAATATAATTTTGGAACATGAGAAATATTGCCTCGTTAATGTAATATATCATCATCAAATTGTTCAGCCATATTCCTTGTATTATTTCTAACGTCGCTGTAAAGCAAGATTTTGATTATTAACATATACATATACATACATATACAGGGTGTCTCAGAACTTTGGGACACGGGCTCCGTAGGGATATAGAGCTAAGTGAGAGGAACAAAAAAGTCCTGTACCATAATGTGAAAATCGTAATAGTTTTTTAGTAATAACCGCGTAAAATTTGGCGTTTTCCACGCCCATCGCGGCCTATAGACGCTCCGCGGCAAGCTGTGTGCGTACGGGCTGAGCGATAACGTGTCTCGCGCTGACTATCGCGATGGCGTCTTGGCGCTTTGACGCCGCGAGATACGTTATCGCTCAGCCCTTACACACACAACTTGCCGCGGAACGTCTATAGGCCGCAATGGATGTGGAAAATGCCAAATTTTACGAGGTTATTACTAAAAAACTATTACGATTTTCACATTATAGTAGAGGACTTTTTTGTTCCTCTCACTTAACTCTATGTCCCTACGGAGTCCGTGTCCCAAAGTTCTGAGACATCCTATATACAGGGTGTCCGGAATGTGATCATTAATATTTTGTGTACTGGTAGATTGGGTGTAGCCGAGAAGAAAAGTCATGTACCGTAATGTCAAATTGGCAATAGTTATCGAGTTATTAATTGAAACATGTGAGCCAATGAGCGCGTAGAGAGCGCTGGGCGGCCGCCTCTTGTTGCTTGCGCTCGCTCGCTCGTCGTTCGCGCTTGCTCGCTCCTCGTCGCACGCGCATGCCTCTTGTCACTTACGGTTGCCTTTCGCAGCGCGAGGTAAGCCATCTTCTTATACACGGAGCCCGTCCTGTCGCTTTCTCGTGCTCGTTTCTGTCGCTCATTCGTTTACACATTTTAATTAATTACGGAATAAATATTGAAAAAATTGTAAAATGGCACAGGACTTTTTTAATTGTTTTAACGAGTTCTACCAGTACACAAAATATTAATGATCACATTCCGAACACCCTGTATATACAGGATGTTTGAAAGCTTATCATGCAGACGAAAGTTAGAGATAGATTGGGTGTAGCTGAGAAGAAAAGTCATGTACCATAATGTCAAATTGGCAATAGTTATCGAGTTATTAATTAAAATATGTGAGCCAACGAGCGCGTAGAGAGCGGAGAGCGACCGCAGTAAGCACATAGACATTTGATACAAGCGGAGTCAGCGAGTGGCGGTAGGCGAGCGCGCGCGGCGAGGGGCAACGTAAACGACAAGAAGCGAGCGCGCGCGACGAGGAGCGAGTGAGTGCGAACGACGAGGAGCGAGCGAGTTATAAGGAAATAGTTATAAAAAAAAAGCTCGCTCGCTCCTCGTCGCGCTCGCTCGAATCTTGTCGCTTACGCTCGCTCGCTCCTCGTCGCGCGCGCACGCCTCTTGTCGCTTATGTTGCCCCTCGCCGCGCGCGCTCACCTACCGCCACTCCTGACTCCGCTTGTATCAAATGTCTACGTGCTTACTGTGGTCGCCCTGCGCTCTCTACGCGCTCGTTGGCTCACATGTTTTAATTAATAACTCGATAACTATTGCCAATTTGACATTATGGTACATGACTTTTCTTCTCGGCTACACCCAATCTATCGCCAACTTTCGTCTGCATGATAAGCTTTCAAACACCCTGTGAGTGAGTCCCAGATGCGCACAGAATAAAACGGACACAGCAGGTTGAATGAAACAGACACAGTGACAAACGGACACAGTGAGAATCGAACACAGAGAAATGGACACAACATGAAACGGACACAGCAGGAAACGGACACACTGTGGTTGCAATCGCAGACAGTAAGAAATGGACATAGGAAGAAACGGACACAATGACAATCGGACATAGTAACAAACGGACAATAGAACAACAATAGAAAACGGGCACAGTAGGAAACGGACACAATAGGAAACGGGGTGCGAAAAAAGTTAAAAGAAAGTAAAATCTGATCGTACGTGCATTATTTATGTGTAGTATTGCCGAATCGACTCATCTTTTCATACTGTGCGGTCACTTCTGCACTTGTGCAGATTGTTCTAGTTAAATCATGCAAGATAGTGATGATGTTAAAACTTGTTCAATTTGCAAAGCACAACTTTCATCGGTATACAAAATATATATGCCATAAACATGTCTTACTTTTATTTGAAGTGTATAAAAATATTTAGAATTTTCAGCATCTTTTTTAATACATATTCTTTATGACGTTTATCGCACACATATTCTAAGACAGTCGATTTGTTGCCAATATAACAGTATTATATATGTTAAGCATTACGTACTGAAATGTATTGTAGACTAAGGCTGTATGCAAGATTAGGTTGAAAGTATTTACTGCTAATCTCTCACAATACTTTAAGGTGAATTATATAAACATTACTTATATGCTAATATTCAAAGTTATTTTCTTTAATAATATGTGTTATAAACATTTCCGAAACAATGTGTGTTACATAATTACATAACAATTATATAACAAGCCAACAAAAGAACAGTAGGAAGCACGCATACTAAAATATAACGTATATCTTAAAATATATATGGTTATTTTTATCTGCAACGACTGCAAGGTTGACGTGCTTTCCGTTTTCGTGTAATCTGGAACATTATGTAAATGTTTCAATGTGTAAATATTATATATGTCGATAATGAGTAACGTTTCAATGTATACTTACTTTTGATGGAATAGTGTTTTCAATAAACGCTAATGGTTGCTGACTATTCTTAATATATTTTTCGCAGTCTTGACGTGTGAGCTTTATTAGAGTAATCCTAGGTTCTAATAGATTTATTGGGATATCTTTGGGATCTATAGTAACTTGTATGTATGTATGTATGTATATTTATTCTCCCCTAAAGGTTCGAAGGCGCTGTTGCAGGGAGCGTTCCCCAACTCTTTACAACTCCTCCTTATAATTATTCGCTTCCCTTACTTTTTATTTTCTGGTCCTGGGGGAGAACTCGCGTCCCGCTTGCCGCTCGTCCCCCCCTTGACACACACACACACACACCTCTCCCCTCTCCTGGACTTCCGTTTCCTTGGCCTTTCAATTAACATTCTTTTTCAATTCTTTGTCTACTTCCTCTCCGCCCTTACCCCCCTCATCCCCACCCCTCTCCCTCTCCAATTCTCTCATCCACCTCTCTCCCTCTCCCTCCTCTCCCAATATCCTCCTTACTTCCTCTTTCCAACTCTTTTCACTTCCATTTTCCCATCTCCTACATTCCTCCCACACATGCTCCCATGTTTCCTCTTCCCTCTCACACAACCTACACCTCCTTTCCTCCTCCTTCCTCCAATACTGCCCTCCTCTCATCTCATTTCCCAATCTGAACCTCGCTATCCTTTTCCACCTACTTTCTCCCCACCCCTTCTTCAAGTACTGCGGTATCCCTTCCCCTTTCACATATTCATACCACCTATTATACCTTGACTCTCTTATCTTCTCCCCCCTCTCTCTTCTTCCTAGCTCCTCTCCCTTTTCTCTTATTTCTGTCACCAATGTCTCTCCCTCTTCTCTCCTTTTTCTTACCTCCCTCATGTCCCCTCCCCTTTCCTTGAAGAATTTTATCCTCCCTACTTCCCAACTCGTCAATCTCTCCCCATTCTCCTCTCTCTTCTTTATCTCCTCTAGACATTTCCTCGCAATTTCGCTCCCCCTTCCCTCCTCCAGCCTTCTCTCCCATTTCCATGCTCTTAACCCCGCTCTCTCTCTCTTAACTTCTCTCTCTTCAATTCCTCCCTTACCATGTATCCTGGCGTTTCTCTCTTTACTCCTAGTATCCATCTTATGTATCTTTCCTGGCTTCTCTCTATCTCTTCCCTCTCCTCCCACCCCCATATTTCCACCCCATACCCTATCACCGTCCATACTAAACTATCATATAACCATATTCTTTTCCCCCATTCTCTCTCAAACCTTCTTTTCCCTATTCCCCATACCTGTCCCATCACCGTCATTCCTATCTTTATTCTTTCCTTTGCTTCCTTATATGCTTCTCCTGTCCCCCATCTTTCTGCATCACGTATCCTAAATATTTATATTCCTTCACTTCTTCCAATTCCTTTCCTTTCCATCTCCATTCATCTTTCTCTCTCTACCCCCTCCCTTCCTAAATCTCATCACTTTCGTTTTCCCTATATTCACCTCCATCCCTTTCCTTTCCATATATCTTTCCAATCTCGCTATCATTGCCTTCATCCCCTCCTCCTCCTCCGCCATTATCACCACGTCATCTGCATATGCCAATGAATATATTTTCTCTTCTCCTATCTTTACTCCTCCCCACCTCCCTTTTTTAATTCCTCTTCCATATCCGCCATTAACAAATTAAACATCCCTGGACTTAGTGGGCACCCCTGCCTCACTCCCCTTCCCGTCCAGAACCCCTCCCCTAGCTCCTCTCCCACCCTTACCCTGCTTATCGTCTCTTCCATCACCTCCTCACATCTCTCCACCAATCCTTTCCTCACCCCTCTTTCCCTCATCGCCCTTATCAACTCTCTTCTGTCCACCGTATCGAACGCTGCTTTCAGATCCATAAATAACGCCACCAGCTTACCCCCCTTCCTTCCTAATTGTCTATTTATCACATAATTCATCACATATATGTTGTCTATAACTCCCAACCCTTTCCTGAACCCCGTCTGATTTTGCGGTATCAACCCTTTCTCCTCCACCTCTTTCCTTAATCTTCCCGCTAATACCGATGCATAAATCTTGTACAACGTATTCATTAACGTACTCTCCCACTACTCTTCCCTCCCCCTTCTTCACTATCGGTACTACTATTCCTTCCTTCCATTCCTCTGGCCACCCCTCCCCTCTCCATACTCTATTACACATTTCCCTTATCCATTCCTCCATCCTATCTCCTCCATATTTTCACGCTTCATTTGGTATCTCATCCTCTCCTACCGCCTTGTTGTCCTTTAATTTCTTCATTACCTCCTTAATTTCTTCCTTGCTTATTTCCTGTTTCTTCTCTCTTCCCTCTTTTCTCTTCCTTCCTCCTATCACTCTTCTCCCCACTCCTCCTAGTAACCCTCTAAAATATTCCTCCGATTCTTTCATTTCAATCTCTTCGTTTCTTCCCTTTCTTCTTTTCCTCTCCCTCCTCATTACTTCCCATATCTTCCCCTCTTTTACTTTTTTATTCACCCATCTCTCTCACCTCTCATTTTCTTCTTTCCTCTTTCCCTCGCATAACTTTTTATATTTTGATTTTTCTTCTCTATATCTCTCTCTATCCACCTCTCCTCTTCTCCATCTCCTCAATTCCCTTCTTACCTTCCTCTTCTCTTCTCTACATTCCTCATCCCACCAACCTTTCCTCCTCTCCTTCTCGCCCTCTTCTTCTTCCCTTACTATTGCTCTCTTTATCCTTTTATTCATTTCCTTGATCTCCTTTTCTACCTTTCCTTCCCCTATTCTCACTTCCCCCAACTCTTCCCTAAATCTTTCTCTAGCCCTTTCAGTCCATACCCCTTTTTCTTTCCTTTTCTTCCCTCCCCCTCTCTTTCCCCTCTCTCTCCCTCTCTCCATCCTTACCGTTATTGGATGATGATCCGACTCTATATTATCCCCCACCTCAAAACTTTTTATCTTGCTCCATCCTTCCTCATTTACTATAACATAATCTATTACCGATTCTCCTCTTCCCTCTGTGTACGTCCATTCCCCTTTCTCATCTCCTTCCTTCCCTCCGTTCACTATCATCCATCCTCTTTCATTTATACACTCTATCAATTCCTTTCCCTCCTTATTTCCCTGCTCGTCTTTCGATTTCCTATTCTCCTCCACCCCCTCTTCATCCTCCCATATTCTCCCCCCTCTCCTTCCTGTCCTTGCGTTAAAATCTCCAATTATCGTTCTTCCTCCCCCTTCCTCTTCCATCCATTCCTTTAATTTTTCCAACCTTTTCCCTAAATCCCCCCTCACATATACTCCTATTATCCTCCATCTTCTTCCTTCTATTATTACATTCCCCACCATCACTCCCTCCATCTCCTCCCTCTCCTCCTCTTCCCCCCTCTCGCTTCTAATTCCTTCCTTATTCCCATTACCATCCCCCCCTTTGCTCTTCCTTTTCTATAAATTCTCTTCGCCGTTTGTATTTTCCATGTATATCCCTTCGGTAGCTTCCCCCTTAACCACGCTTGTTCTTTTTCCTCTATCCATGTTTCCATTAACGTTATTACATCCCATTTTTCTATCTCCCTCCAAAACTCCCTATCTTTCTTTTTCAATCCTGCTACATTCCAGAATGTCACCTTTAAATCCCTCTTTCCTTCTTCCCCTCTTTCCTTCCTATTTCCTCCTCTCCCCTCTCCTCTTCTATCTCCGTCTAGTTTCCCTCCTTCCCATTTTCCCTCCCCTTCCCCCTCCCTCTCCTCTCCTCTCCCTCTACTGTCAATACTTTCTTTTCCCCTTTTCTATTAACCACTCCCCTCACTTCTTCGTCCCACCTCCACCATTCCTCATTTATTCTTATTTTTCCATACCCTCTCCAAACCCTACTTCCTTTTCCTTCTTCTTCATCCGCTATTCTTCTCATTATCCACCTTGCTCTCCTTTCCTCATATGTCAAATCGTCTTCTATCCATACTTTGCTTCCTTTCAGTTTCTTTTTCCTTTCCATTATCCTGCTTTTTTCCTCCTCACTATTTAATTCTACCACTACTATTTCTCTCATCCCCCTTTCCCGTCTTTATCCTCCTTATTCTTTTTCCAATCCCCTCTTTCATTCCTATTTCTTTCAGTATCTTTTCCACCTCTTCTCTAACCTCCCCTTTTCCTATTTCTACCCCCCTCATCACTATATTCCTTCTTCTTTTCTCCCTCTCTCTTTCCTCCTCCCTTTTTTCCAATACTTTCACTCTCTCCTCCATTTCTCCCTTCCTCTCTTCTGCTTCTCTTCTACTCTCCCTTTCCCTCTTTTCCTCCACCTTCTTTACTCTTTCTTCTATCTTTTTATCATCTCCCCTTCCCCTCCCTTCCCTTCTATCTCTTCCCATTTCCTCTCTAAACTCTCTATCCTATCCCTCATCTCCTGCTTCTCTTTCTCCCATGTTTCCTCTCTCCTCCTAATTTCCTTCCTTAACCCTTCTATTTCCTCTTTTACCTCTTTAAACCCTCCTCTTATTTCCTTCTTCATTTCCTCTAATGAATTCTCCCTTTCCCTCCCCTCCTCTTCCCCTTTTACTGGTGACCTCACTGTCTTCCTACTTTTCATAAATCCCATCTCTTCCTCCTTCTCTCTTTTTCTTTTCCACATCCCTATCCACATTCCACTCCCCTATCATTCCCGTACTCCCTCTTCTCCCTCCCTCCTTCCCCCCTTTTCCCCTCCATTCCCTTTTCTTCCCTCCCCCTTACTCCTCTCTTCCTTCCCTATTTCCTCCATTCTTATCTTCCCCTTTCTCTCCTTTAAACTTCGCTCCTTTCTCTTCTTCCTTCCTCCTTTCTCCTACAGATGTCGTTCCTTCTCCTTCTTGCCTCTCTTCTATCTGCTCCTATACTCCTTGCCCGTATCCTTTCTCTTATTTTTCTCTCCTCTATAAACTCTCTTTCCCTGCTCTTCTCTAGCCGTCCCTAACCTCACTCTCTCACCCGTATCTTTCACCCCCTTTCCACTCTCTCTCTCTCTCCCTTCTCGCCTCCACTCACCTCCACTCCCGCTCACTCTCTTCACACTCTCTCCTCCCCCCTCCTCCAATTCTGTCCCCTACACTCTCCTTTTCTCTCCTCCTTTCACTCTACTAGAAACCCTCTCCTATACTTTACGCCGCCGGAAACGGAAGTCCCTATAGTAACTTGTATTTTTTCTTCACAATTTTTTCCAGTATTGTCTATCAAAGATATATTTGGAATATTTTCGTTTCCTGAAGCGTGATAAGGCAAGTTAATAAGAATGTAAGTCAGACATACATAATACAGTTAATACTAACTTTGCATATTTATATATTGTTCATAATAAACAGTTTCAGGTAGTCCAACAATAATTCTTCATAATTTTTGTCATTTTCATTTTGCAAAGATATGTCTAATACATTTTCCTTCTCTAGAGCATGATAAAGATAGTTATCTTTTTAAAAAATAATTGTTAGTAAAATATAAAAATTATTGTTAATGTTGGCGGTAATATCGGTCATGCGACCCGCAATTCTAATACACGAGAGCGAACATCTGGCGGCGCTCTAGTAGCGTACTGTTGACTGCGTGTGATCGGCTGTGCGGAACTATACGCGACAATGTATTCTTATACGACTGAGTAAAGTTAACAAATACGAGAACTGTGTCTACGCGTATGTACTCTATATTACTGCCTTCGCCTAATTCCTGTCCAACAGGTTACGGGCCTAGGGACTCGCGAACAGTACTAATCGTCGAAGATTCGAGACAGAAAGGAAACCTCGATCTGTGCGATCGAGACCGACAACCACGATCAACAGTGTAAGAGCCACAGCGCGAGGGAAGTACAACATTCGTGCAAAAAGGAAGGCAAAACGTGCCGGGACGCGATAAGACAAATACGGGAACGTGTTTTCTGTATATTTTCGGTGGCGTTTCATTTCTATCGTACGCGTCGAGCGTAAACGCGCATGCGAGGACTCTCGTTATTACCGTCGACCGTGTAATCGTCGTCATAACCTTTCTTTCGCGCATGCCAAAACCCGACGAAAGATGAGTGCAAGTAACGTTATACGCATCGAGGCGCGCGGACGCGAAAACTACGATACATGGAAGATGCAAATGCGAGCATTGTTAGTGAAAAATGATGCCTGGGGCTACGTAAGCGGTGACATCGTGAAGCCTGAGCCGACCGCAGCAAATGAGAGAGAAGTACGAGACTGGATCGTAAGAGACGAAAAGGCCAAATCTGATTTGATATTATCCATAGGAGCAGGCGAACTCAAATTAGTAAAGAATTGCCAAACGTCTCGCGAATTGTGGATTAAGTTAGAAAACACATTCCAATCCAAAGGACCCGCTCGCAAGGCTACACTGCTGAAAAGCCTGACATTACAAAAAATGAGCGAAGGTGGGGACGTGCGTGAGCATCTCCATGAATTTTTCGATTCGGTGGACAAACTCGCCGAGATGGACGTGACAATCAATCCTGATCAAAACTCGCCATCATGATGCTATACAGTTTGCCTCTAAGTTTCGATAATTTCAGGATCGCCATCGAAAGCCGAGATGAACTCCCTACCCCCGAAAACCTATGTACTAAGATAATTGAAGAAAATGACGCAAGAAAGAGCTCAACGGTGTCGTATCAACAACAAGATGCGTTGCTCATTTATAAAAAGAGACAAGGAAAACGAAACGAAAAATCCACAAATAAGGAGGATCTGAAGTCGGCGTTCAAGTTCAAGTGCTTCAACTGTCACAAGAGAGGACATAAGGCATCTGAGTGCTCTCTCCCTAGGACAGACGAGAAAGATCGAAGAAGACCTCCGCGCATATCTCTCCTGTCTACTGAAAACGTATCAGGTGCTTGTCAGATCGTAGGGGGCGTCAACAGGAATATATGGTGTATTAATAGCGGCAGTACATCTCATCTCTGTCACAATGTAAACTTATTTACATTATTACACTTATTTACAGAAATTGACAGAAGCAAATCGGGAACTGAAATTAGTCAGCGACGCATTCGCGGAGATAGAAGCCAGGGGCATGGCCGAAATCGAAATGAACTCGAACAAAAGGAAAAATCACATGGTCCTAAACAAAACTTTGCATGTTCCAGATCTCAGGATGAATCTATTGTCAGTTTCCAAAGTAACGGACAAGGGTTACACTGTGACGTTCGACAGAGAGAAGGCTGATATAGTCAATCGAGAGGGGCATGCGATACTGACTGTGAGGCGGATCGACGATCTTTATCTATTTGACGCAACGCCGCAAAATAGTTATCGTGACGCCAAGGCGCATGCGGCGCGAGCCAACGAGTCAAGGATATCGAGGAGCGCAGTCGAAATCTGACACCAACGAATGGGCCACTTAAACTATCGAGATCTCGTCCAAGCATCAAATAGCGGAGCTATACGAGGGACTGGCACATTGAACGATACCGGAGTTAAGGACTCAACCTGCGAAATATGTATTAAGGGAAAGATGATTCGCCCATCGTTCCCAAAGGCTTCAAATCGAGAGACCGAAAAGTTAGGAATTGTCCATACAGATATATGCGGCCCGATGCGCGCGTTGTCGAACGGTGGATCTAAATACTTTATCACCTTCACCGACGACCACACCAGATGGACGGAGGTTAGATTCTTAAAAGGCAAGGATCAAGCGCTTGAAGAATTTAAAGCCTACAAATCATCGGTCGAGAGACAACATGGTATGAAGATAAAAACCCTCCAATCCGATAATGGCCGCGAATATATAAATAAAGAGTTCGACGAATATCTGAAGTCAGAAGGCATTAAAAGACGACTCACGACTGCATACACCCCCGAGCAAAATGGGGTAGCTGAGAGGAAAAATCGAAGTCTAGTCGAATCCGCGCGCTGTCTTCTGTTGCAGTCTGGCCTGCCAATTAGTTTCTGGGCCGAGGCAATATCCACTGCTAATTACGTTAAAAATCGATGTCCCACAAAAAAACTTGACAGAAAAACCCCTCATGAAGCTTGGAACGGCAAGGCACCGACAGTAAGCTATTTTAGAACTTTCGGATGCAAAGTATTTTGCATGAATAGAGCTCCGAATAAGGGCAAATTTGACGCTCGATCGAGAAGCGGTATATTCATCGGATACTCTGAAGAGACAAAAAGTTTTCGAGTCTGGTTACCGGAAGTCAAAAAGGTCGAGATTACTCGAGATATAAAGTTTCTTGAAGAATCGTTGGACCATCGAAAAGTAAAAACATCTAAAGACTTTTACACAGATACCTCTCAAGACGGACCTCAGGACATAACAACAACGAGTCCCCCCAAACTCGAATTGATCTCGGGAACGGACGATACAGAGCGGGTACATCCAGAAGAAGATGCGGAAGAGCCAGTGGAAACGTTCGAGTTGAACAAGGACGAAGCGTCAGGTCGTAGACGAGGACGCCCCCGGTTGATAAAAACAGGACGACCCGGCATACCTCGGAAAGACTACGGCTGCTCGACCGACGAATTAAGAGAATCCGCCGGCGCGGCCGAAGTCAACATAGAGGAGGTTTTTTCAAACGAGGACTCATCAGAGTGGAAGAATGCAATGATATCAGAAGTGGTATCGTTGCTGAAGAACAACACATGGAATCTGGTGAAACGCCTCAACGATGGGCAAGTAATTGGAAGTAGATTCGTTCTACGAAGCAAGTACAATTCCGACGGATCCATCGAGAAACGTAAAGCACGTGTGGTAGCACGCGGTTTCCTACAAAGACCCGGAGTGGATTTCCGTGAAACCTTCGCCCCAGTAGCCAAAATGAGTTCAATACGTGCTGCCGTGGCCGTTTCCGCTCAAAAAGATATGAAGATCAGGCAACTCGACGTGGCGACCGCGTATCTCAACGGTGACGTTGAAGAAGTCATCTTCATGGAACCGCCGGACTATCTAGAGGATATTTTGGAGCTGATAGTCCGATTCAGGAAGGAAAACTCCCACGTCAAGGAAAAAGCCGAGAAAATGCTGAACGTCCTGAAAAAATCTGACGTCGTCTGCTTATTGAATAAGGCTTTGTCTACGGTCTGCGCCAGGATGGACGAGCCTGGTATTTAAAATTAGACAGTAAACTACGAGAACTAGGAGCGGTCCCGTCGAGTGCAGATCCATGCGTTTATTATACCGGACCAGTCGAAAACAGGAGCTTCATCATCATCTACGTGGACGGCATCCTTTTAATGTCACACGACGACACCGAGATTGAGAGGCTGAGGAACGGTCTCAGCGCCGCTTTCGAGATCAAGGACTTAGGCAACGTTCGATACTGTTTGGGTCTTGAGTTTACGAAGACGAAGAACAGAATTGCCATAAGTCAACGTGGATATATTCTCGATCTCCTCGACAGATTCGGTATGCAGGAATGCAAACCAGTATCGACTCCGATAGAAGTGGGTGCAAATCTGACGAAAGGAAAAGCTGAAACGGCCGATCATGGATCGAAGATGCCTTATCGAGAACTAATAGGGACATTCATGTACCTTTCCGTAGGCACTCGACCCGACATATCGTACGTGGTTAGCTATCTGAGTCAATTCAATGACTGCCACGCCAAAGTCCACTGGAAAGCTGCCAAACGGGTATTATGGTACTTAAAAGGAACCGATAATTTAGGTATTTTGTTTTCCAGGCAATGCAATTCTCCCGTCATGTACGTGGACGCCGACTGGGGAAATTGCTCCATTGATCGCAAATCTTATACCGGTTTTGCGCTGATCGTGAATGGTGGAGCTGTCAGCTGGGAGTCCCGGAAGCAGCAAACGGTGCCATTGTCGTCCACAGAGGCCGAGTACATGGCCCTGTCCGAGGTAACCAAAGAGGTCATTCACATGAAAAGATTGCTCTAGGAATTAGGTGCGATTACAACTGGGATCGTAGTAAAGAGCGATAGTTTCAGCGCTCTAAAGTTAGCAGCCAACCCTATTCATCATTCACGATCGAAACACATCGACGTTCGGCATCATTTCGTACGCGATGCTGTGAAGGACAAGGTCATACAAGTTCAACATGTGCCTACTCAAGAGATGGCAGCCGACGCACTCACCAAAGGTCTGCCTGGAGGCAAGCACGAGCACTGCACTAACCTTATAGGTCTTAGACTCGTCCTATAATCGAGACCAATTGCGGTTTGAGGGAGAGTGTTGGCGGTAATATCGGTCATGCGACCCGCAATTCTAGTATACGAGAGCGAACACCTGGCGGCGCTCTAGCAGCGTACTGTTGACTGCGTGTGAACGGCTGTGCGGAAGTATACGCGACAATGTATTCTTATACGACTGAATAAAGTTAACAAATACGAGAACTGTGTACACGCGTATGTACTCTATATTACTGCCTTCGCCTAATTCCTGTCCAACAGTTAATATTAACCTTGCATATTTACGTGTTTTTGATGTAGAATGCTTTTAGATATTCCGATAAATATTCGCAAAAATTGTTCAATGGGTAACCTTGAAAAATATTTTAATATAACGTTATATATATATACATGTATGTGCTTGTGTGTTCAACTAATGTTAGAGAATAATTCTTTTCTGACGGGGCCTAATATTCATCTTATACAGGATGTTAAATTTCAAACGTAACAGATAAAAAATTTTTAAAACTATGAAAGATATTGAAAAAACTAAAACACGTTTTCCATGATTTCGAAGGAGAAAGAGAATGGCATCATCAGTTTTTTTATTTGGAAGGCATTTTCAAGGTGAGTTGAAGGTCAACTTAATTTTTTAAAATAGGAAGTCCAATTTCTTATTATATCTTCTTTTTATACCAATTAATTTTAACAACTTTTGTCTGAAACATTTCTTTATTTGCTTAATATTTTTTTAAATATTTGAGGAAAACTTTTTGAGGTAACTTTTTCAACATTTAACTTACGATATCTCGTTAACTATTTGTCGAAAGAAAAAATAGTATTAGACTTTTTTACTTTATTTACTATCAAGAATATAATACTATAATAGTGCCCTAACTTTTCTTAATTTAATAATTTGAAATTTCCAAAGGTCGATAAGTTAAGGAAAGGAAAATATTCCAAATATATCTTTGATAGACAATACTGGAAAAAATTGTGAAGAAAAAATACAAGTTACTATAGATCCCAAAGATACTCCAATAAATCTATTAGAACCTAGGATGACTCTAATAAAGCTCACACGTCAAGACTCTGAAAAATATATTAAGAATAGTCAGCAACCATTAGCGTTTATTGAAAACACTATTCCATCAAAAGTAAGTATACATTGAAACGTTACTCATTATCGACAGATATAATATTTACACATTGAAACGTTTACATAATGTTCCAGATTACACGAAAACGGAAAGCACGTCAACCTTGCAGTCGTTGCAGATAAAAATAACCATATATATTTTAAGATATACGTTATATTTTAGTATGCGTGCTTCCTACTGTTCTTTTGTTGGCTTGTTATATAATTGTTATGTAATTATGTAACACACATTGTTTCGGAAATGTTTATAACACATATTATTAAAGAAAATAACTTTGAATATTAGCATATAAGTAATGTTTATATAATTCACCTTAAAGTATTGTGAGAGATTAGCAGTAAATACTTTCAACCTAATCTTGCATACAGCCTTAGTCTACAATACATTTCAGTACGTAATGCTTAACATATATAATACTGTTATATTGGCAACAAATCGACTGTCTTAGAATATGTGTGCGATAAACGTCATAAAGAATATGTATTAAAAAAAATGCTGACAATTCTAAATATTTTTATACACTTCAAATAAAAGTAAGACATGTTTATGGCATATATATTTTGTATACCGATGAAATTTGTGCTTTGCAAATTGAACAAGTTTTAACATCATCACTATCTTGCATGATTTAACTAGAACAATCTGCACAAGTGCAGAAGTGACCGCACAGTATGAAAAGATGAGTCGATTCAGCAATACTACACATAAATAATGCACGTACGATCAGATTTTACTTTCTCTTAACTTTTTTCGCACCCCGTTTCCTATTGTGTCCGTTTCCTACTGTGCCCATTTTCTATTGTGTCCGTTTGTTACTCTGTTCGATTGTCATTGTGTCCGTTTCTTCCTGTGTCCATTTCTTACTGTCTCCGATTGCAACCACAGTATGTCCGTTTCCTGCTGTGTCCGTTTCATGTTGTGTCCATTTCTCTGTGTCCGATTCTCACTGTGTCCGTTTCCTACTGTGTCCGTTTGTTACTATGTCCGATTGTCACTGTGTCCGAATGTCACTGTGTTCGTTTCTTACTGTGTCTGATTGCAACCCCGGTGTGTCCGTTTCCTGCTGTGTCCGTTTGATACTGTGTCCATTTTTTACTGTGTCCGATTCTCACTGTGTCCGTTTCTTACTGTGTCCGTTTCTCACTGTGTCCGATTGCAACCACCGTGTGTCCGTTTCCTACTGTGTCCGATTGTCACTGTGTCCGATTGCAACCACCATGTGTCCGTTTCCTACTGTGTCCGTTTGTTACTGTGTCCGGTTGTCACTGTATCCGTTTCTTACTGTGTCCGTTTTCACTGTGTCCGTTGTCACTGTGTCTGTTTCATTCAACCTGCTGTGTCCGTTTTATTCTGTGCGCATCTGGGACGCTCCTCACCCTGTATACAGGGTGTTTGATAGCTGATCATGCAGACGAAAGTTGGAAATAGATTGGGTGTAGCCGAGAAGAAAAGTCATGTACCATAATGTAAAATTGCCAATAGTTATCGAGTTATTAATTAAAACATGTGAGCCAACGAGCGCGTAGAGAGCGGAGGGCGACTGCAGTAAGCACGTAGACATGATACAGGCGGAGTCAGCGAGTGACGGTAGGCGAGCGCGCGCGGCGAGGGGCAACGTAAACAACAAGAGGCGAACGCGCGCGACGAGGAGCGAGCGAGCGCGAACGACGAGGAGCGAGCGAGCGCGAACGACGAGGAGCGAGCGAGCGCAAGCGACAAGAGGCGAGCGAGCGCGAACGACGAGGAGCGAGCGAGCTATAAGGAAAAAGCTATAAAGACAAAGCTCTCGCTTGCTCCTCGTCGCGCGCGATCGCCTCTTGTCGCTTACGTTGCCCCTCGCCGCGCGCGCTCACCTACCGTCACTCGCTGACTCCGCCTGTATCAAATGTCTACGTGCTTACTGCGGCCGTCCTCCGCTCTCTACGCGCTCGTTAGCTCACATGTTTTAATTAATAACTCGGTAACTATTGCCAATTTGACATTATGGTACATGACTTTTCTTCTCGGCTACATCCAATCTATCTCCATCTTTCGTCTAGATGATGAGCTATCAAACACCCTGTATATTAGGTGTACAAATGATCCAATTTTTTTCAGCAACATTTAAGGTTTATTTTAAAAGAAAGTAAATTAAATTGTTTATTCAAAGTATTCGCCGTTGCTTTCTATAACTTTAAGCCATCTTTCAGGCAGCTGATGAATTCCATCTCGGAAAAATGTTATGTCTTTAGACACGATAAAGTCGTCAAGCCATTTTCAGGCCTCATCCACTGATTGGAAGTGCATATCGGACAAGGCGTATTGCATCGACCGGAACAAGTGATAATCGGATGGACCAACGTCTGAAGAATACGCCGGGTGCTGCAGGACGACCCAGCCAAGACTCATTATGGTGTCTTTTGTATTGGAAGCAATGTGTGGCCTGGTGTTGTCATTCAACAATTTCACTGGACGTTCGCCTTTGCCAGTATACGGGCGTTTTCGTTCCAATTCTTGACTCAAGCAGATTAATTGACGTTGATAGCAGTCCGCAGTAACTGTTTCACCCGGTTCCAACAACTCATAATAGAGCACGCCCTTGATATCCCACCAAATGCAGAGAAGAACCTTCTTTCCGAAGCGATTGGGTTTTGCGATCGATTTTGATGATTCGCCGGGATTTACCCATGACTTTCTGCGTTTCAAATTGTCATAGAGTATCCATTTCTCATCGCCCGTAACGATTTTCCACAAGAAAAACTTTCGACGCTGCTTATTGAGAAGAGAAAGACACGCTGCCACTCGTTGATTTTTGTTGGTTTCAGTGAGTTCATACGGAATCGATTTTCCTTCTTTCTGGATCTTTCCCATCTCATGTAGGCGTTTGGAAATCGTTTGCTGCGTTACTCCCAACTGTTCTGCAAGCTCTTTTTGTGTTTGTGCCGAATTCTCAACGAGCAGTTGTTCCAAATCATCATTATCGCACTTCGGAGGGCCTCAACAAGGCATTGTTTGTCGATTAGACTGAAATTACCGCTTTTAAACCGCTTAAACCAAAATGCGCACACATCATACGATATAACACGTTCTGCGAGAAAGGAACAAATCGATTCGCATGCTCTTGCAGCATTTTTTCCTTTGGAATTCGTAAAGAATGCAGTGTCGAATATGCACCTTATCTGTTGCCATTTTCGACTGTACTGAACTGAATACTTTTGAAGGTTATGTTGGGCCTTTCGCCAAACTATATGTTCTTTTTAATAGTTATATGTCAACATTGCATAATCACAAAAGAGCAGGAAAATCTATTCAATTTAGAATAAATTTCATAACTGCTTAAAATAATTTGGATTATTCATTTGTACACCTAATATGTATATATATATACAGGGTGCACGATTTATCTGAAGACATTGAAATATCTCGAGAACTATGCATTGGATAAAAAAAGTGGTTAATGAAAGTTGTTAGTCTCGAAGGAGGACATCCAATGATACCAAACTCGACCTCCCACCCCACTCCCTGGGGGTGGGGATTGGAGTCAACTTTGAAATCTTAAATGGAAACCCCCATTTTTTATTGCAGATACGGATTCTACGCCACAAAATACGTAAATTTTGTCCGAAACTTTTTTTTTATTCGTGATAGATAGCGCTATAATCGCAAAAAATTATATTTTCTGCAGAAATTGATGATCATTTCTCCAGAAATGATCATTGGATTGAGAAATAAAAAATACCTGTTCAATATTTTTAAAGAACATAATAAAAGTTATTCCCCCCCTATCCTCTCGGGGTAGGGTAGGTGGTAACGTTCAAATCTGCATGACGGTTGCCCAGCGCATAACTCAATAGCAGCACGGGAAGTATTAGACCGTGATTACAATGGTCGGTGGATTGGCAGAGGTGGCCCGATTAATTGGCCTACTAGGTCGCCTGATTTGACATCGCCGGATTTCTTTCTGTGGGGTTACCTAAAAGATAAGGTTTATCAACAAGTGCCAACAACTCGTGAAAACATGGTAGAACGCATAAGAAACGCTTACGCTAAAACTCCCGCAGATATGCTTCTGTCCTGTGTATAGTCATTTGAAAAAAGGATCAATAAGTGTATTGAAGTTGAAGGTAAAAATTTCGAACACTTACTCTAATTAATTGAACAGTGAGAGGCAAGGGAACTCACATTAAAAAAGCACCCCGATCTGTGAGAGGCAAGGGGACTCACATTAAAAAAGCACCCGAAGGGAACATAAAACTACTACGTCCTCGTCGTTGTTCCTATTCAACGCTAAAATTAGTTTCTCGGAAAAATTCAACGCTATCTATCACGAATGATAAAAATTGTTTCAATAAAAATTTCACGTACAATCTAATTCCGCAATGAAAAATGTGGGTCCCCATTTGAGATTTGAACGTTATCACCCACCCTACCCCGAGAGGATGGGGGTGGAATAACTTTTATTATGTTCTTTAAAAATATTGAACATGTATTTTTTATTTCTCAATCCAATGATCCATTTCTGGAGAATTGCGGAAAATATAATTTTTTGCGATTACAGCGCCATCTATCACGAATAAAAAAAAAGTTTCGGACAAAATTTACGTATTTTGTGGCGTAGAATCCGTATCTGCAATAAAAAATAGGGGTTTCCATTTAAGATTTCAAAGTTGACCCCAACCCCCACCCCCAGGGGGTGGAGTGGGAGGTCGAGTTTGGTATCATTGGATGTCCCCCTTCGAGACTAACAACTTTCATTAACCACTTTTTTTATGCAATGCATAGTTCTCGAGATATTCCAATGTCTTCAGATAAATCGTGCATCCTGTATATATATATCAGGTGTAGTAAAAAGAAATCCATTATTTTTCCAATAGATGGCTTTGGTTATCTGTATCTCGCGTTGTATAAGTCCGATCGGGTTCCACTAGATGGCGTTAGAAAGATGAGATTTCGTACTAAAAAAACTTTTCTGACAGTTTTGTGATTAGTTGACTCAGTTTTGTTTGAGCGCGCGTCAAAGATGGACACTAGCAAAGAGAAAATACGCTATATTTTACAGTTTTTCTTCGATAAAGGCGAAAACGCAAGCCAGGCGGCTGAAAATGTGAATAGTGTTTATGGTCCTGATACTGTAACAGCCAATGACGTGCAATTTTGGTTTCGTCGATTCCGTTCCGGTAATTTCGATGTCAAAGATGCACCACGCACTGGAAGGCCAATTGTCGAAAATATCGATAAAATCATGGACATTGTCGAGTCCGACCGTCATGTAAGCACTGTTTCGATTGCCCAAGAGCTAAAGATTGCACAAAAAACCGTTTGGAACCATTTGAATAAGGCTGGATACAAAAAGAAGCTCGATGTATGGGTGCCACACGAGTTAACGAAAAAAAACCTCATGGACCGAATTTCCATCTGCGAATCGCTGCTGAATCGCAACAAAATCGACCCATTTCTGAAGCGGTTGATCACTGGTGATGAAAAGTGGATCACTTACGACAAGCGAAAAACGTCAAGCGAAAACAGTCGTGGTCGAATCGCGGTGAGCCGGCGAAAACGGTGGCCAAGCCAGGATTGACGGACAGGAAGGTTTTGCTGTGTGTTTGGTGGGATTGGCAGGGAATTATCTACTATGAGCTGCTCCCCTAAAACTCTTAACTCGGAACTGTACTGTCAACAATTGGACCGTCTGAAGGAAGCAATCGCCCAGAAGCGGCCAGCTTTGGCCAATAGAAGAGGAATTGTGTTC